CTGCTCTAGGCCCGGGTTATTTTACCACTAAAGTAGGGTAGAGGAGTCAGCTATTTAGGAAACCCAACCGCCTGGAGCCAGGCTTCGCAGCCCTGCCTCACTGTGTCTAAACTCCTGTTTGCCTTATACCTGGATAACTCAAGTGAAACTTCTCTCACTATGGTGCAACCACCCCCAGGAGGCGCTTGCCTACATTTTAAAGGCAACTACAAAGCACGTAGCCGGCAAATGTGCTCAGTTCTGTGCTAAGCCCCAGGACAGAAAGATGAGCAAGATGCAATCTCTGGCCCTCAGGAGCTCATAACCTAGACAGACAACACACGTCAAACCACATGCAATAAGCTTCATATCAAAATAGGTGATCTGGGAGGGAAAACTTAAAAGACCTGAGGAATTTAAGAAAGACTTCCAAGAGAAACTAAAGGACAAACCTGGTACTGGAGAATGAGCCAGAGGCCTCCAGGAGAAGGGGGTGGGGCATGTGAAGAGGAAGCCTGATGTGGCTGTCCAGCAGTTACCTGTGGACAGCAGCCTGGTGGTGCCAGGCCCTATGCCAGGAGCAGAGGTGAAGGTGGGGTGACAGGGCCAGTAGGGGACCAGCTAGACTGGAGAGATCTAGGCACATAAGAAAGAAGGGAGTGCCATGAGAAAAACACGCTTTCTAGTGGGGCCTAGCAGTGCCACAGGAGATAAAAACCTCCGTCTTTGTCTGTCCACCCAGTTGCAAAACCCTCTGTCTTTATCTGATCCAAAACACTTGTTTGGGGCCGGCCAGTGGTGTGGTGGTTAAGGATGCTGGACTCCCACATGGCTGACCATGGTTCAAGTCCCAGAAGTGGAAGCTTGCTTTCTCACTTTCTCTCTCTGTTCCTCTCTGGGCAAATGAAAATAAATAAATCAAGTTAAAATAATTCTTCAAAAAACAGCAACAACAAAAAAGAGCCCATATTGTCAGTCTAGGAGTTAGGAATAGTGAGGCAAAGCACATTTTATTTTGAGGGGGAGCTCCATCAGATATGTGAGAAGAGAAGAGAAGAGATGACCTTCCCAATCTTGTGCAGAACTCAGAGGAATCACAAGTGCGCACCTGCAGAGAGAGCTGTGAACGGTGAAGGTGCACCTGAAGTTCAAAAAAGAAGTGGTGTCTGGTAGAATTTGTCAGAGGAGTATATTCAGACACCCTACTGGCCTCTCCAAGGGAGTGAAAAGAAGTCCTCGCAGGTCTAGACAGGAGCAATAGTCTCCTCCTTGGTAATTTCTCATACCTGGAGCTTCTCGTAAAAGAGGAAGAAAATGCAGACAGTTGCATGTTGGCCTCTTGGGGAGATTGAGGCTGCTCTTACTGTGAGAGCAAAGAGCCCAGAGCCCCGTGAACCACTTAGTCTTGAGTTTCTGGAATAGCACCACCACTGGGCTGCTGTGTGCTCAGAACACAGGGTCACCACTTACTCACCTTCTGGGCCCAGAGCTGGCCAGGCAACTGCAGGTTGGCTAAGGGGCAACTCCTAAATGCCACCTTCTTTACTTACAGGGTCTGTCCCCCAAATTTATTTTTTTGTAAGATTTTTCCCCAGAAAAAAACAAAATACCCTCGAATGTCAAAGAGTCTTGGGTTTAACTTTTACCCTGCCACCTACTGACTTTGTGACTTAGGGGCATGTGTGTCAGCCTTTGGGGGCCTAAAGTGCCTCACCAGCAAAGGGGAGTGATATGATCACCGTGTGGGTTGTCAAGAGGGCAGGAGAGAGTAGTCCCTGGAAAGCCCAGAGTGTGAGGTCTGCCACGTCGCGGGCATATGAGTAACAACTATACTGTGGTTAGCACCAGCGGACACCGGTGAGCATTTTATATTTTTATTTTGATTAAATATTTACATATAATTTTATGACAAAATATTGCAGGAATTTGTACTAGAAAACATTAAATCTTAAATAGCTTTCATTGAACTCCTACCATATGTCAGGTCTTTTTGACTCCTGAATCTTGAAACACTTCTCTAAGAAAGACAGGCCAAGTCTATAATCCCTTATTGACAATTTCCAAATATGAAAAGTGCTAAATTAAACATTTTTTCCCTAGGACTAGCAGATGGCGTAACGGCAACAGTGCTGGACTTCGGCGTAGTCGGCCGTGATTCAAGTCTTGGACCTGGTGGCTTAAAACTCACACTGGGCGAGTGTGCGTGCGTACCCAAAATCCTGAGAGGTGAATGGAGGAGAAAGGAGGGGCAACTCCTAAATGCCACCTTCTTTACTTACAGGGTCTGTCCCCCAAATATTTATTTTTTTGTAAGATTTTTCCCCAGAAAAAAACAAAATACCCTCGAATGTCAAAGAGTCTTGGGTTTAACTTTTACCCTGCCACCTACTGACTTTGTGACTTAGGGGCATGTGTGTCAGCCTTTGGGGGCCTAAAGTGCCTCACCAGCAAAGGGGAGTGATATGATCACCGTGTGGGTTGTCAAGAGGGCAGGAGAGAGTAGTCCCTGGAAAGCCCAGAGTGTGAGGTCTGCCACGTCGCGGGCATATGAGTAACAACTATACTGTGGTTAGCACCAGCGGACACCGGTGAGCATTTTATATTTTTATTTTGATTAAATATTTACATATAATTTTATGACAAAATATTGCAGGAATTTGTACTAGAAAACATTAAATCTTAAATAGCTTTCATTGAACTCCTACCATATGTCAGGTCTTTTTGACTCCTGAATCTTGAAACACTTCTCTAAGAAAGACAGGCCAAGTCTATAATCCCTTATTGACAATTTCCAAATATGAAAAGTGCTAAATTAAACATTTTTTCCCTAGGACTAGCAGATGGCGTAACGGCAACAGTGCTGGACTTCGGCGTAGTCGGCCGTGATTCAAGTCTTGGACCTGGTGGCTTAAAACTCACACTGGGCGAGTGTGCGTGCGTAACCAAAATCCTGAGAGGTGAATGGAGGAGAAAGGATTGCAGCGTGGCCATCCCCCCTGGGGGGTGATTTCTTGCTTCCTGCCTCTCTGTCTCTCTGTAGAGCACATGCACCCTATAGCAAAAATCTCTTTAAGAAAACATATATTTT